CAAGGTGGTCTTCCTTCTTTTACAGTTTTCCAAGATCTTGTCAATTAGGAGCTGATCTTTTGTTCCTATGCTGTTTCAGCGGTTTCCTTTCTGCTCAGATGGAAAGAGCTTGTTTTCAACTAGATGCTGTTGGACGGCATCAGCTACCACACCAGTTAGCAATTCAAAAGTTGTTGGCAAGCAAGTAATTGGCCTGTAGTTGCCTTTTGCTGGATCTTTAATTATCAGGTAGATTTTGCCTGATGTTAGCCAATCTTCAATTTCACCTCCTTGCAGTATGTTGTTAAACTGCTTGGCAGTGAGTGAGTGCAGAGCACTCAGATGTTTCAACCAAAAACCATGCACTTCATCTTCATTTGGTGCTGGGCAATTCTTGATCTTCCTTGCCCTTTTTCCAACATGTCTGCTGTTATTACAAGTTCTTTAATTTCAGCTTCTTTTTTATTCTTACCTACCTCCTTTATCCAAGCTGGATTCTTGTTATATTTCTTTGGGTTGTCCCATAGCTGCACCCAGAACTGCACTGTTTCTTCTTTGTCATGTGTTGACTGGTTCATTGCACTCTCTCCATTGATGGATTGGTAGAAACCTTTCTGATACAACTGAAATTGGAGATTCTGCCCGTAGTGTGCTATTCGAGCTTTGTATCTGCTGATCTATTATTATTATTATTATTATTATTATTATTATTATTATTATTATCACTGTTTACAATTTTTATTTATAAGAATAATTACCAATTTGTATTCCCAAGACTTAGCAGACCATGGTGGATAGGAGTAGAGCATAGCACTAAAACTTTTTATATATTACGCTAGAACTTAATAGTAGATATATGAATAGAAGCTTCAAACAACAAATCAGTGTATTCTTCTTGACTAGTCATTGAATAGAATGCCAGAGTATTAAAGAAAAAGAATTTAAAAAAGTGTTTCCTTATTCAAAATAAAGTCCCATTCAAGTAGACCATAGCTCCTGCAATTTCATGGACATGACATGTAGTTATCTTGACAGACAGTATTCATATCTATTAACAGCCTTCTCTGCCCTCACCATGATTGTGTAGTTTAGAGTATGCATGAGAGACTGCTAATTTCCCCTTAGAGGTTTTTCTTAATGTTGTGGATAGTTTCAGTCAGTTTGGTACCCCTGAGACATGGATACAAGCTTTATGAGATGAGTTTAAAAACCAGTATATGAAAAACAGGAACACATAGCAGAATTCAGATCAGATTGTTTTGCTTCATTTTATCCTTGGAGAATAAAGTCTCTTAATATTACAGCTTACATATTCCAAAGTTGCCTAAACCTGTGAGAGTAATTGATCACTCTAGGCATTATGTGCTTCAACCATTTTTTCCCACTAGTTCTCTGGCTGAAATTCTGTGGAAGCAGCTTTTGGAGGGAGAATGTTTCTTCTTAAACTTGTTTTTATTTTATTTTTTCAAATTGGCCCACCCATATTTGTTATTTGGTTTGTGTATATCACATTCTGGGATGACTGTGCACACAAACTGGGAAAGGACCATTGGATATTCATCAATAAGATTCTTTCATGTTGATTTGATTAAGGCATCTACTCCCACCTTTATTTTTCAAATTAAGCTTGTGTTTTGTTTCCTCACTAGTGGGATGAAAATTATTCTCCTGTTTTCCTCTGTATTGATAGCCTTGGATATTTTCAATGTAGATATGCTTCCAGTGGCTTTGTCATGGAAGGAACTGCCTGCCTAATAAGAAGAACCTGTGAGTCTAAATAAAATCAGTTTGTTTAACAGAGGTACACACGAATACAAGAATGCCTGGCAAAATGATAGGTTGACTTATCTGCCTCCATTGAGTGGAAGTCTTAAGCCCTTCTCCCACAATCCTTACTGCGTGCTCCTGGGGAAAGCCTATGCCCCTGTCAGCCATTTTTTCCTCAGAGAAATTCTTTCTGGTGCTGAATTACACAGGAGTAGATAAAGTGGCAACCTCTTTCCTTTTTGTAGTGTAACCAAGCAGATGCACATGCTAAGATTCTTTCAATGAGAGTCAGATTCAGTACAAATTAAACTCTTTATTATATATATCAAGTTGAAGAACTAAAAGGGTTCTAATCTATATCTAACTCCTCCATTCCTTAGATTGCTACTTTTTTCCTGGGTCTCCATCCAACTTCTGAGCTGGGATCCTGGTTACTTGGCTTTGAGCTAGCCCACTCCCTCTGCAGAGAATAAAGAAAAAAGCAAAATGTAACTGCTTTTTCTTTTTTAAAAAAGTTTACCTGAGGGAGGAATCTCCTTGATCCTGGTTGGCTTTTGATTTTTGCAGGCTTTGGTGGTCTCTGTCCATTTACTTGATTAGACAGACCGGGTTTTTAACCCTTTCAGTGTATATATCTCTTAGAATGGTATTTCTCCCTGTTTATTATAGTTTGCTAATCTATTCCTTGCTTATTCCATTTTCTCATGGAGTTAATCCATTCAGTGGATCCCTCCATTGCACCTAAAAGGAAGAACCTTCACAATGAGTATCCAATGTATTTTTCCAGTTGGTGCACAGAGAGCATATTTATATATCTGGGCTTCCTAAACAGAAATAGGATTTTCTGAACAGAGCCATTGATTAAAAGAAAGGGAAGCAGTTGTTATTCAGTGTAGAAAACTTTCAGTGAAAAAAACCAAACAGTTGAAAATTTTCTTATTCTGTCTCCCTTTGTCCTTCGCCTGTTTTAGAGCTACATCTAATTGATTTAATTCACACACACAGTATTTTTTTAATATTTATATAAATTACAGATGACAAGCACTAGCATAAAATAAGCATTTGTTCTCTTTTCCATAGGAAGAATGACTTTTTTTTGGTAATAATTTAATTAAAGTTTACAAATAACAAAGATAAAAGAGAAATAGAAACTAAGAGAAATATAAAAAGCGAGGACAAGAAAAAGAAAAGTGCAAAGCAAGAGAGAAAAGAAAAAAGAAATATAAAAGTGACTTCCCCCTCCCTCCAGACAAAAGTATAAATAACCCCTGTAACTTAACACCTTCTCTAGTATTTTAATAATAATTTAAAAAAATCTCTTCTTCCCATAATTCATCTCTTATCAATAAACAAATTATAACAACTCATTCACTTCAGCAAAAGTCCATTAGGAACTACCAGAAATAATAATATATATATTTTACCCTTAATGAAATAAATCTTTTGTGCTCCAACTTACCACTTTTTCTAAGAGATAAAGCAAAAGAAATCTGCCCCCAGTTGTAAACAAATCTTTAAAGCGTCATCATTCAGTTCTGGTCATAAAGAAATTCCATTTACAGCTACCAGAAACCACAATACATAACTTCACTTTGTTGTCCAGAGAATGACTTTTTTTAAGATCATACCTGCTAGAATACATGATTTATGAAAAAAATACAGGTGGTTCTCATTTACTGAACACTTGTTCAGCGACCGTTCAAAGTTGCCATGGTGCTGAACAAGGGGTACTTATAACCAGTCCTCAAAGTTCCAGCCGTTGGAGTGCCCCCATGGCCACATGATCACAATTTGGGTGCTTGGCAACCAGCTTGCATTTGCAACAGTTGCAGTGTCCCAGAATCACATGTTCATTTGTGACCTTTCCTGCCAACTTCACACAAGCGAAGTCAGTGGGGATGCTGGCAAGGAAGGTCACAAGTTGCTCTGGTAAGTCCCCCCCCACCTTCCTGCACACTGCGTTGTCCTTCCCTGGGCCTCCCTGTGCTTGCCCACATGCACTCCATGCCATTCCCTGGGCCTCTCTGCTCATACCTGCGCTCTCCTTCCCTCAGCATCCCTGCATTCACATGAATGCAATTGCACCCCTTCCCTGGTTTTCCCTGCACTTGCACACACTCACCCAGCCCTCATTCCCTGGGCCTCCCTGCACTTGCATGCACCCGCAGTACCCACCTCCCCCACACCCCACTCCTTACCTGGGGCTGCCACTTAATGACCCAGGCATCTTTGGGTTACCACAGCAATCAGGACTACCTGGATTGCCATTGTAACTCAAGGACTACCTGTATGCTTATTGCTTCTGACATTGCTTATGGCTTATATGTAAGTTTATTATATAATTTACTCAAAATCAGTTAAACTCCATTTAATCAGGTACAGTCTTAAATAAAAGCACATTCTTAAATTGTACTTAATGCAGTTTCAGTTTGGTTCTCAAGCCAAGTTAGTCTTGTGAAATTGCCTTACTGAAAAACTTAGTTAAAAATCCTGAGAGATGCTTGGTACTTTCACCCAGCGATAAAGTGGAAGTGTAAGGAAGTCCTGTTTTACTGCTTTTGCTGTTGATCATGACACGTTAAGAAACATTCTGTCTCTCGGTACAGATTGGTATTATAGTGGCATTTATCCAACTGATAATGATAATGATTCAGCATTTACTAGCATACTGGCTTCTTGCAAATACTACAATTAGGTGTACAATTTATGTAATACCCAAAATCAGTCAGAAAAGGTGCTGTAGTAATGTTTAGATTTATTACAAAAACTGCTTGCTAAAAATGCATTGTACAACAATTGTCTTACTGTAGCGGACATTAACAAAGCTCTTCTGGCTAAAAGGAAAAGATTAGAAATGTATACAAAGGCTTCTCTTAAAACAAGCAACCAGAAAATAGAATTTGTTTGGAAAACGCAACAGGAACAAAGGTAAGTTACTTCAAGAGTAATATATATTTCATAGGAAATCATTACTTAATTCTATAAATAATAACTAAATTTTGTTCAGCATTTTGCCTACTGAAAAACAAATTCCTTTAGCTCTTGGAGAAATATCCTTACTGCTTTTTTAGGTATCTCGATTACCCAGAATGTGAATGAATCTGGATTATATTAACCCAGGAATTTAAAAATAGTGATTTTATTTTTAAAAAAAATCATTGATTTTCATTTGTTTGCATTTTACAATATAAAGAAATGCCACCATTTTGATACTTAAAGCATCAAAGTCTGCAATTTTTCAGGAGTTCCCATGAATACGCTAATTATATTCTGTTAAATTCACCATTTATTGCACACCCTTATGGATTTATTTTACAAGATATTACATATTGCACTCTTTGTAATGATAAATATATATTGTAGGCAAAAGGTTAACCACGAGTATTCTCAGCAGTTCCTGCATGTATTTCAACAATGGGATGCCGATATACAGAAAGCAGAGGAACAGGAAGAGAAGCTAGCGGTTTGTTTTCTTGTGTTTATTTTTGAATATGCTAAGTGTCAGAGATTGCTATTTTATGCTTTTTCTTCCTGCAGTATAGGAGAAATTATCACTCAATAATCAGAGATAAGAGATGCAATATTCAGTGATGTAGAATTCTTTGCATTACTTTCTTTGCGATAATGTATATTCACCTAGAGTACAGGAAATTCAAGTAAAATTAGCAAAGTGAAGCACTGATCAGTTTATAAGGCTTATGTTTTACCATGAAAAACAAGTGAGATTTAAGGCCAGTTAATAGGTTGGTCAGGAACTTACAACTTTCCTTTCTGCCAGAACTGGGGCTCATACTAGCTGTCCCAGTTTGCTTTGTAAATGATCTCCTTCGAAAAATAAACTTGAACATCTAGGTTTCAAGTTGAATTCAGGTATACACGTAGTTTTGAAACTTAAAATATGCAGCACCATACAACTTGGATTAAGTCTACTCCTGACCTGTCTTTTATTGACAAGGAACATTTCTGTAATTGAATTATATCAACTTATTAACCATTAGGGGTTTTTTTTCTCTTCAGAATGTATTTCGACAACAACAGAAAGCTTTCCAGCAAGCAAGAATAGTTCAAAGTCAGAGGCTGAAAACAATTAAGCAGCTGTATGAACAGTTTATAAAGGTCAAGTTATACACTTTTAAATCAAATGGTAGTTCTGAAACATAGTTTTATCAAGTTCACAATTAAAAGTGTAGTTTTCAGTTAAAACACCTAAATGGTGCTAAAGATATACGTGGCATGCAATAACATATGCAGTAATATTGTTAATGCACAGCAATACTTTTATGCTTTAAAAATGAAAGCGATTACTACTATTAGGTATTAGCTGTTTAGATTTGTTACCAAATAATGACTTTCTGTACCCATTCTGCCCAGTTTCTACTAATTTCTGATCAATCAAGTAGTTTTATAATCAATTCAACACTGCCAGTACAACATACTGGAGTTGATACAGAAATCCAACATCTAATTTTCATAACTGGACAAATTTCTTATGTAATACTATCTCAACTATGTTCCACTTTCAAGCTTTCTTGTTCCATATAGTGATTGTGTTATCTGTGTAGCTCTCTTCCCAAATCACTTCAGAGCTTGTATTATAGCACCGAGATCAGTAAATATCTTCCAAATGAAATTATTTTATCTTGCTAAGATTAACATTTCCTGTATCTATGCGATTATGTCTTTTAGAACACTGATGTATGTTGAGGGTTGAGCTATAGATTAATTTTAAAAATGCAAGAGATTTCTTGATGTGAATTACTGGCAAATTTTCATGAAGGTGAACTCTAATTTTAGAGTATGGAAGACATGGAAAGGACTCATGAAAGTCTTTTAGCAGGGGCACAAAGTGAACTTCGCAAAGAAATGGCTATGTTGCAGAAAAAAATAATGATGGACACAGTAAGTATTAATACTGATTTATGAAAACTTCAATAACATTTTAAAATAGCACACTTAAATAGAAAAAAACATTGTTTACAATTCACACGTTAGAGTGCTGTGATACAAAATATTGCATCTGATCAATATTTTTTTTCTTTTTTCTCATAACAGCAACAGCAAGAGATGGCAACTGTTCGCAAATCTCTTCAGTCCATGTTATTCTGATGGTTCAGTGGAGAAATAACTTGTACCTAAGTAACATGATACAATTATACACATTAGCCATCGTGGGGGGAAAAAAGCAACTGTTTTACATTCCATGTTAAAAATTACATGTGTCTGAATAGTTCTTCATTGTTAACAACAGAGAAATCAACAAGTAATAGAAGCAATTACTGTTTTTTCATTTTCACAATATTATGGTTCTTTAATCTTAACATATCTGCACAATTTTCCTTCATTTTTGAATTACAAATATAAATGCCTGGGTTATGATAGTATTTGTAAACTTCAAAATACCTATAGACTGATCCTTAGTTAAGCACAGTAGTACTTAGAAGTCTATTAGTAGAATTGGAATTTCAAGTCAAAATGAAAAGTTCCTAAAAACTAGGGGGGAAAAGCATTATCACACACATTAAGAGTAAAGTGCTTTAACATGAGATTTGAACAATACTGTTTACAAATTCCTTACTATCATAAAATACAATATATGTTTTCTAGATTTAGTACTGTAGTAATCTGAAACTAGTAATAAGTGGTATGATGTACTTTTTGCATTGTGGGCTAATAAATTGTTTTGGAAATACTAGTTTATCTAATTAAATTAAAAACTCTTAAATTAAAGTACCAATGCAGTGATTATTGAATAAAGCTTTATAGAGTAAGAAAGCACTATTCCCAACTGAAATGTTTTTTACCATCATCTGAAATATCAAAGGCTTGATTCAGTGAGCTTATAAATAAAAATTTTTAAAAGTAATTTACATTTCAAACATTACAGATGCAGTATTTTCATGGTTATGGAATATTGCAGTTAAAGCAATTTAGAATTACTGATGAAATGCATTTGACTTTTGAGTCTGATTTCTTTAAAAAAAAAATTAAGTACTATATTTCTTCCTTTTTCACAGAAATTTGCTTGAAATATTTAATTATATTTAAATATAAAGGTTTTAATTACCATAATGCCATTCCATTAATTAATGGTTTTCTATATAGAATTCACCGTTATGGTTGCATAATGCAAATCTTTCAAACTGGATTTGCAAATGTTATTTTTATATAGATCAGCTTATGGGGCTTTTTTTACACCACCTATTTAAAATTCAAGGTAATAGATTATTCTTATAATTATATTGGATTTTCTAATTAATAAAGAAGCCTAGGCAGATTTCACATATTAAATTTCTAGGGAGAAGTCATTATGTTTCAATGAAATAATTTCTGCTAATATTTAAATATTTACACATTACGTTTTTAGCCTATATGCCAGTGTGACATAGTAGAATTAACCAATTCATTCCATTTAATATTTATGGTCCAATTCACACACAAGATCTTAACTGAACATTTGAAATCAGTCTTTAACATGATTTCATTAGCATTTATAAATGTTAACACATGATTAAACAGATGATCAAGGTTGGATAAAGTTGCCAGCACCTCAAAGTTCATGACAGCAATTTTTCCATAAGAAAATATTTCTAGAGGGATGTTATAATAATTAGTGATGCATGTTAGAATTCGTTATTTAATAGATAAGCTCTGGTCACCTTGGAGTGATTCCTTAATGGAACTGTGCCACAGAAACCAGCAATAAAATCAGAGAACAATATTTAAAAAAATAAACTATCCTGACAGTGCCTACAACTGCTTTTATTATGAAATGTTAAAGCTAAGATGAAACATGTTTTTTAAAATCAAGCATGATTTCTGTTAAATGTGTTCAGTCATAGCTCCTACTAACATTATTTGTGCTTCTCATAACCTAAGAATAGTTTTTGAACGATAAGGTCATAAATTAACAAAGTTAATGCCTCAGTGTTACATGAAGACACAGTCATCTAACAATACAAAGAAAAGAACTGGTTGTAGATTTTTTTAGTGACATAAAAGTTCAAAGGAAAAGGAAAAGCACATATTGCTTGCTATGCAAAATATATTCTAAATACAAATGTTAATGTCTATATCATACCAAAAAGTACAGGTATATAATCCCAATGTATTTATAACACATTTTTGTAAATGAAAATAGAATTTTTGTTGCTTTAAATGTAGTGGACCAGATTATATTATGTTCAAAAACAGAATGGTTTCACATTTAAAAAAGATTAATGATTTCCTTCTCCATCTTATATCCAAGACTCAACTGTAGTACTTTCTCACCCCACCCCAGCCCCAAGTTTTCTTTTTTATAAACTGCTGCCTGGGAAGTTACAATCTGAAATGGCAGAATAGGCTATCCAACCCCACTCACTAATGTAATGAAAAGCAAATACAGGTAGTCCTCGGGTTACAACCATTTGTTCAGCAACTGTTCAAAGTTGTGACGGCGCTGAATGAATGGTATGATGGATCTTTGTAGCTCCAACCATCGCAGCATCTCTGCGATCACGTGATTTCTGATGTTCCCTGCCAGCTTCCCACAAGCAAAGTCAATGGGGAAGCTGGCAGGAAGTCAGAAGTTGCGGTCATGTGAGGTCCTTGCTTAACGACCGCAACTGGGACTGCTGGATTTGCTGTCGCTAAGCAATGTGGTCAAGTGACATTGTACTTTATGACCGCATCGCTTAGTGACAGCAATTTGGGTCCAAATTGCCATTGTAAGCCAAGGACTACCTGTATTACAAAGGCAAAAAAATTGTGCCAGTTGCTAGAAGAGGAAAATGTTTAAATGCTTCTGTCTACCACAGACTTCAGCTGAAAGGGGAAACTGCAAACTATATGTTGTATGGCCCTTACAGAATACCATATCCTTTTAATCGCTAATTTAAGCATATTGGTTAATTTTTTAGCCATTAACAACTAACATTTCTTGAAAGCCCAAAAAGTTACAGAATTTACAAAATGGGCTTATTTATGCTGTTATTGTACCTATATACTAATGGTAAAGTTACTCTCCTAAAAAGTCAATTTTTTTATGGAATAGCCCATGCTAGTGGTCACCTGCATTAGACTTTCAAGCATATGTGTCTACAAACAGAAAGTTTTTACACAGGGATCAGTTACCTTTTAACAAAAGCTTCTTTAAACTCTATGATCCTGATCAAACTAACTACAAGTCTTAGTATAACTTGAAACTTTATGAACTCCTTCATATATTTGGTTTTCTTTAAAAGCCTTCAGATCTGTATTTCTTTAAAAAAAAAAGTATTTTCCATAATTCAACATTTCCCCCTACTCCTTCTTCTCTTCGTATTTAGCTATAAGTCACTCATTATGGTTCTGAACCTGTTCAGGAGCTTGTTGAGATGAAAGCTTGAAGACCTGTATGTGAAGGTGAGCAGCAATCTGTATGCATATTCCAGTGAAGTATCTCAGCAAATCAAACAACGAGATGAACTAAAGATGAAAAGGGGGAAAAAGCTTACAAGTTAATATTACAGCACCTGTTGTATACAACAGAACTATTCTGTCCTTTTATCCTCCTCCTATTTGATCTGGCAGATAATTTAGAATCATATAAAGCCACTTGAAAAAAAGAAAGCAGTTACCAATCAAGTGAGAATTGCAGTACTTTTTAAATTTTAGTGTTCTGTAAAATTACAGAAAACATGGCTTTCCCCAGAACTCGAATTTCCTCCCCATCCCACCCCCAGGAAGACAGAATTCCAACTGTGCATCCAGTAAACTACAGAGGAATGAACAAAAGAAGAGATAGGAAAAGCCATGGTTGCCTCCCCTTCTAAGTTGGTGTTGAATTAAGAAACGCAAAGTGTCTTGCCAACTTATAACTGTAATTGTTGCTTCTATTCTATTTGATATGACCTAAATGTAATGGTACATTTCAATCCAACAAAATCTATGCGTTTGGAAGCAATACATTTTATGAATAGAAATATTAATCCATTAGTGACACAGCTATTAATGGTAAATCCTAAATCATCATTTATATAGCGCAAGTCTTTTTTTCTATTATAGGACGGTATCTTGAAAATGGGTTGCTCCTCCCCCTTCATTCAGTGGGCAGGATTAAAAGATTTATAACAATCCCTAAACTGGAAGAGGGTACCCTTCTTCAGTTATGTTCCTGCCTAAACATGCAGAACTTTGTGGAATTCCATCCTATTTTCCCTCACTGTTTTTTTTTCCACATGGAAAGTCAGGAAAGCTGAGCTAAAGGGTGTTCCCAAAGATAACAACAAGAAAGCCTGCTAGGACCTCTTTTGGCTGCAATAAACAAACAAGCTCAGAAGCTAAGTATTCTCAAGCTTGATTTAGATGGAGACAAAGGGGAATGTGGGCTAAGGCTGAAAAGCAAGTTGATCAGTATAAATGTAAAATGGTAATACACAGAATATAAGACTAACTTGTCTTACCCTCCTTGAGAAGTTAGGGAAAATACTCATTTTCATGAGTTTTTTTTTAAACATATTTAATATCATCTAATGGTAGGATGGAATTTCTGCAGAAATTTCCTCAAATAACAGCTTGATAATTTCATTATGTCCAAGAAAGTTAAGAGTCTTAATTCACTAATGTTTCATATATGTAATTTCTCTCCACAGAACAAGTTCAAGGGAAAACAACCAAGTTTCTGGCCAAATTAACCTTTAGCTTCTTTTTCAATGCATATTCTTGCTGGTGCCAGATTTCTCCTGAGAGAGAAACTGCATCCCCCATTAATTGGAGATTTACAGAAAGAAGATACCACTCTATTCTTTCATCATTTACAGTAGTTGAGGCCCACTCAAAGGGAAAATATTTACTGTATTTCAATAAGGCTTTCTTATAGCAATTGTTATGTATGCCAGTTATTCAGGGGAACAACTGGAAGGGATGCACTCTAATTGTATTCTTATTTAACACTTCTCCTGGTTAGTGTTTCCTACAGACATTTGGATAATTAAGCTGCACAGCATAGAGTTTCTAGTGATATGGTAAAGATGCTAGGTTTTCCAGTGTTCCCAATCAATATCTATCACTCATCCTTACATAAGTAAGCTAACAACTCACAATCTCTTTCAGTAGTAATGTGATTCTTTTAGCTTACTGTTATGGTGCAATTTTGATGTCCTTTCATTTTTTAAATCTATATTTTATTTACTCTGTTGTCTCCAATATGATCCAACAACATCAGTTCTTTTTCAGGACCTCATTTTGTCTTAGTCTAGACTACTCTGGATAAAACGTAGCATAGGTTGGACACATAAGGAATGATAACATATTTTCTTTCTGGGACTATAAACTTTGAGCAGGCTATTTTAAGACATAAGGGATTCATGTTTTCAAGGTAGATTAATTCCACATTTTCTTTCTACTGTTGCCTCTCTGGAAGAATAATTATCCATTCACTGAGGAGCACAGCCATCTTTACCTTTTTCCCATCAAGCTGCCTTGATACAAATAAAGCTGTTACATAGTCTTTGTACCTTCTTGTTAAGGAAATTCCTAAAATTCTTGCAAAATTGTATCTTTCAGCTCCTGAGGACTGCTTTGGTATGTTTCAGTTTTCAAAATATCCTGTTCTACTGTAGGAAAACAGAACACTAAACAGAACTAATGATACCTTTCTGTCCTTGGGAACTCATATTTTTGTCATAAACCAGAAACTAATACGTGTTTGATTTCTAAATTAGATAATCCACTAGATTTTTTTGCTGCTTTTGGGGATCAGGGTGGGGCAAAGGTCAAACTACCAAACATTATTATATTATGTATTCTTATATACATAATTACATAAAAACATAATGCTTGCAAATTTAATGGAAATTTACTTACCAGTGCTATCCACAGAACAATATATTCATCAATAAAACAACTGAAGTACTGGTTTAGAAATAAGAGGCCTGGCCCAATAAATGCAGTATCTTGAAGGAAGATCTCACTTTTTGTCATGTGTGCTATCTATAAACAGAAATTACTGGTCTGAGATTGGTGGCTATATAAATTGAATGAGTAAATAAATAAAATCAAGACTTTAGATCCTATTTTAATTTTTTGCAGTGTAAATGTACTATCAACTCCTGTGGGAGTCATTAGAATGCTATCAAATCAAAAACTTCAAATTGTTTTAAAATGTACACTAAGCAAGAATAGTAACAACTTATTAGTGATCAACAATCAGAACTACAAAAAATGTGAACAGATTTTGTCTACTGGTAGAGGTACTCATTTCTTATCCACTTTAAAAAGCTTAATATAGAATAGCAATTGTAATACACAATATATATTCAGTGTTTATTAAAAGTAGACTTACATGGAGTAAATGCATACTTTCTAGTTTATCTTGGTGTTCAGTGGGCTTTCTTTCTGGTAAATATGGCCTTAATAATAAAATCTGAAACTACTGTTTGTAGGTATTTGCTATTAGCAAAAGAGTACCAAGAAACCATTCATTGTTTTATTTGTCTTAATGAACCATAATTTGTAGTAAGTGTCCATTTTTTAAAACCGAATTAATATACTATCATATTTTAGATTTCTAGGTAGTTTTTAAGAAAAAAATGTTCCATTTGCCCACATTAGCTACAATCCTAATCACACTAACTTGGAAGTTAGTTCCTTTGAACTCAGTGGGCCCTTTTTCTTGGTGAACATACATCAAATTACACTATTAGTTTGACATTTTTTATTAATATCACATTAATACTGATTCTTAGAATTCTTTATTGTGTTCAAAACACTGCATACGTCATAATGTTATGTGCACAGCAAATAGCAAGAAGTTTTTACCATCAATTTTTGTGTGATTTTTGCAATCACAAATCCAAAAGTTAAGGCATACAGACAAGGATGTTTTTCAAACAGATGAGTTGTGGATTTTTTGTAGATCATTATTGCCAGAGTAATAATTAGGCCTATATGAAGGCCTGGAGATAAAACACTTGTTCCCTGAAATACATAAAGACATTTATGTATTTATTTTAGAAACTTATGTTCTGCTTTTTCTTTCTAGCTCAAACAATAAAAAATAAAAAAACATAAATAGATGTTAAAATATAAAAGTTAGAAAATAATTAACATCAAAAATATAATAGCACTAAGAAATGAAACAAAACAATATGATCTACTGAATTTGAATCAAACCTGTTTTTACAAAAAAAGTGCATATAGGAAGAAACCTGGAAGAAACCTGTCCTTAATCTATCCAGATGTAAACAATTTAGGCCTTTAAATATTAAAAGCAGAATTCTGAATTCACCCAGAATTTAAAAGATAATCTCTGCAAACTGGAAGATGGGATTGGCTAAGTAGCATTTTCCACCATTTGAAGTTTCTAAATGCTTTGAAAGCAAGCCATAGAACCTCCCAGACTCCTAAGATATGAATACAGATAGTCCTCAGGTTATGATGGCAATTGGGACCAGAATTTCTGTTGCTAAGTGATGCAGCAAGTGCAATGTCACGTGACCACATCACTTAGTGAAGACAATGCAGGCAGTCCTGGTTGCTGTTGTAACCCAGAGACGTGTGAGTCATTAAGAGGACCTCAAATGACTGGAGTCCTAGGCAAGCAGGCTGGCAGGTGAGTACCGCAGGCAGGCACTTCTGAGTGCAAGCAGGTGGGCAGGAGCTGCAGGCGGGCACTTCTGAGCACAGGCGGGCTAGCGGGGGATGTAGGTGGGCTGGTGGGGGCTGCTATGGAGTGTAGTCAGGTGGGGGTGCTACAGAGTATGAGGTCTCAGGGGCTCCTCAGGAGAAAAAGCAGCAGGAGCAACTTACAGGTGCAACTTGCAACCTTCCCTGCCAGCTTCCCCATTGACTTTGCTTGTGGAAAGCAGGCAGGGAAGGTTGCAAATGGCAATCAAGTGACTGCAGATTGCCACAGTGTTGTAATTGTGAGCCAAGTACCTGAATCATGACCACCTTACTGTGAGGGCACTGCTACGGCCAGAACTCTGAGG